TCCCTCTCTCTACCCCTTGTATTATCTTGTTTTCCACTCTGCCTAGTTGTTTACAAAAAAATCTTTCCCTCTCTATTTCTATATCCTTATTCAATCTTTTCTACCTTTTCCTTTCCTTGTTAATCACTCTCCACACCTGTCCCTCCGTTCTTGCTTCCCCCGCTCCTCTCTCCCATCTTTTATTTTCCTCTTGTCTCTTTCTCTATATTCCCTTTTCTCCCTCCTATACTTCTGTCTCTCTTTCAATCTCTTCCTCCATGCCCTTAACTCTTTCCTTTAACCTCCCTTTTTTTTCTTTTACATTTCTCATCCTTTCCTTCTTCCCTTCTCTTCCCCTCTACCTCTTGTAGAGAGGTGGTGATCCGAGTCTACCTGTCCTCCTATCTCCAGACTCAGCATTTCCTCCTTTATCTCCTTCTTCACTAGCACGTAACCTATCACAGACTCCCTTCTATTCCCGGTGTACATCCAATTCCCCTTTTCATTACTTCTGATACCCCCATTTACTATCGACCATGCCCTCTTCTTAATATACTCTACCAGCCTCTTTCCTTTCTTCTTCACTTTCATTTCTCTCTAATCCTTCCTCATCTCCCTCCTCTAATCCAAACCCTTCCTTCTTCCTCCCCTGTCCTCGTATTAAAATCTCCCCCATTTACCGTTCTTATTCCCTTTTCTATCCCTTACATCTTCCCAGCTCTAATTTTCTTTCTATATCCCCATTCACATATATCCCTACCCTTACTTTCCCTTTCTATGTTTAATTCTTCCTTCTATTATCCCCTCCTCTTTCATATCCCCTCCCTCTTTTTGCTCTGTTAATTCCTTTTTAAATATCATTATCATTCCTCCCATCGTTCTTCCTTTCTTGTTCTTCCTTCTTGCTGCCTCCCACCTGTATCCTTTCGTCAATTTCTCTTTAACTTTCCCCCAGTTTTTCTCCTCTATCCATGTTTCCATCAAGACCAACACCTAACTCTTTAATGCCTTCCCTCTTCCTCCTTTTACTCCCCTGCTTCTGCGTCTCTTCCACCTGATCCTTCACTTTTTCTTTTCCTCCTTCATTTACATTCTATCAAAAAAGTACCGGGAATTGGTCAATAAAACACAAAATAGTTATTATTCATTCAAATTTATTGTATCGCCTTCAAAGTAGGCTCCTTTCGAAATAATACATTTATGCCAACGAATAATCCAATCATCAAAACATTTTTTAAACGCATTTTCCGAAATCGACTTCAGTTCTCGACGCGAATTCTCTTTTATGTCTTCTATCGACTGAAAACGAGTGCCCCGAAGTGGTAATTTGAGTTTTGGAAAGAGAAAAAAGTCAGCCGGAGCCATATCTGGTGAATACGGTGGTTGTTCGATGATATTTGTTGAGTTTTTGGTCAGAAATTCGTTCACAATGATAGCCTTGTGAGATGGTGCATTATCATGGTGCAAAATCCATGAGTTTGTTTTCCACAAATCTGGCCTTTTTCG